AGACTGCTCCGGGGGAGCGGTGGAGGGCTGGCTGCCGGTGGCTGGCTGGCTCATGTTTTGGGGCCACTGGGTCGGGGGCAGTGACTGCTGGTTCTGGGCTGGCAGGCTTGGAGCTGGCACAGGCACTGTGGCCAAAGTCTACCCCTTTAAGGGCTCCGGGGAGGGAAGGAGGGAGTGGAGTGTTCTTGGTTGAGGCTGGAGTGGCCACCAGGGCACCCTAGGAAGGCTGGAGGCCCCCTATTTCGAAATAAGTGTCTACACAGCAGTTATTTCGAATTTGGCATTATTCCTTGTAAAATGAGGTTTACCAAATTTGAAATAAGCGTGCCACTATTTCAAATTAATTCGAAATAGCAGTTTGGCTGTGTAGATGCTAGGAAAGTTATTTTGAAATAAGGGTTGTTATTTGGAAATAACTTTGCTGTGTAGACATACCCTAAGTGAATGCACATGCATTTAAAGAATGGACATAAACTAGGGACAAAAATCCAGCTAGGCAACTAGGCCAAAATAAAGGTCTCCACATTTCCCACAACTACCGGTTCCAGGCCCAAATCATATAGACGTGCGAAGTGATATAGAGGAGTAAGCAGATGTGTCCTATACCATGTCTTGATGACCAGCAAGCTCCTGTGAACCAATGGGTGAAAGTGAATTCCTGGCTTCAGGGCCTATAACTAAACCCCTGTCTGCAGAGTGTAAGTCTAAGGACTGTTAGCAGAAACAAACCAATCCTATAGGAGAAAAAGGATCCAGGATCCAAACCACACACGTTGTATAGCTCTATAGCAATAGTCATAAAAAGCTTAGATAAATTGCTATTAAACCAAGTCACTGATCACCATAGTATGAGACCCTTCTAAGCATGAATCGATTTAGACGATCAAGACCCCCATGAGGCATAGAAAGCATATTCCCCTTTTACAGCTAAAGGAACAAGAACATTACAGGTCAGATTTGGATAAAGCACTCCGTGCCGGCCTACCTCTAACCCCACAGACTTCTATGAGACTCACTGCTGGTTTCACTGGCGGAAGAGTTTGGCCAACGCCGAATGCTTTTAAAAATGTCACCCTAAACGATGAGACCAAGATCATGCAATAAGTTCATACCAAAGTCCCTCCTGTTCAGTACGGGGAGACTATGCCCCGCCACAAGCACCCTGTACCGCACATGGCATTATCCCAGTCTAGAGGTTCTAAAGGCTGCATCAGAGAGAAATCATCACTATCTATGGTCAAACATGGTGGAGAAAAGGTTATTTAGACCACTGATGGTACCCAGAAATCCGTGACAGGCTGGAGATCAGAAATTACTCCCAGACTGTAAATTCAACCCTAATTATTGCTGCGTTCCACTATAGAGGTCACTGACCCCACAAAGACCCCTTGAGAACTCAAACTTGGCAGGGACTGGAGTAGCTTCAAAGTTCCTTTGGCACTTGGAAAAGTCACTATAGCCCCTTCAGTGTGGAGCAGAATGGTACAGGCCTTCTGCGCAACTCAGTGCTGCTCTCTGGCTGGGCATATCATGACTGGTACTCAACGATATTGAGTGGAAGCTTTTTATCGGGGCAGACACGATCTATCAGGCTGTCCTGGCTAAGGGTATGTGTAATCCACACACCTAGTGTGGTTCACTGTCCCATGTATTTGCACTTAGACCACTTACAGCAAGAGATAAGGACAAGGGAGCTCTACAGCATACACTGCAAAGCAGCTGGCTTTATAGCTCAAGCTTTAGCAGCTCCTATACTAAGCTCCAGAGGTGCCAGGTTCTAATCCACCCAGTGGCAGTTAGATTTGCCTACACTGCAGCTGGAAGCATATGTATCTACACAGACAGACTTGCACACTAGCTCTCCTAAGACTAGCACACCAAATATAACGGGAAGCCCGGCTAAATGTTGAGGCTAGCCACCAAATATGCATGCAGGTGTCTAGCTAAAACTGCTTCCTATAAGCTATTCCCAGCTGCTGTGCAGACATGCTCTAATTGACTTCTAATGCATAGAATTTTTACCGTGACAATTGCAAACCGTGTTGTCATTGAAAAGATGCCAAAAACTGCCTGAAGATTTAAGATGCACTGAAGCATCCAGGCCCTTTCTACCACCTAATCTTACTGAACTGGTATGTAGAAAGAAAGTTCCCAGTATGGTTAGTCCGGCACATCTTCTTCAGCTATATATGTTTTTAAATCCCATGCTCCTAACCTGGGACTAAAGAAGAGCACCAGCACTGTGCGGAAGACCTCCATGGTTTGTGCCTCTTGGACTCACTTATTTTGCAGAAGACAATACCCGAATCTCAAGTTTTAAGGGGAAAATTCAAAGCCCCTTCTTTTAGTCACTTGGGGTATGGCGACACTATGGGGGACGGGGTTTTGAAGAAGGTATGCAAATTGCACTCACATTTGCATATCTTCTTCCGTATTTTTTCCCCCGAAAGAGTATATTCCAATATTTGGCCCATCTACTTGGGGACAAATGTCAGAAAAAAACCCTCTTTTGGAAGCCTCCTGTACACTTCATTTTATGAAGAATAAGGGGGCTTCCGAAACAGGGTTTTTTCCAGATATTTGGCCCCTCGTGTAGACGGGCCAAATATTGGAAAATCCTCTTCCGGAAAAAAAAAAACAGAAGGAAATATGCAAATGCAAGCACAATTTGCATACCTTCTTCGAACTCTCCCCCACCCCCCACAGTGTAGCCATACCCTAAGTGCAAGCTGAGGTACCTCTCAACAACGCTGATATATCCGCTGCATTACATTATTCATGCTCCCTCAGGGTATGTCTACACTATACAGTTAATTCGAACTAACAGATGTTAGTTCGAATTAACTTTGATAGGCGCTACACACGCGAACCGCTAGTTCGAACTTAATTCGAATTAGCAGAGCGCTTAATTCGAACTAGGTAAACCTCATTCTATGAGGACTAACGCCTAGTTTGAATTAAGTAGTTCGAATTAAGGGGTGTGTAGCCACTTAGTTCGAACTAGTGGGAGGCTAGCCCTCCCCAGCTTGACCTGGTGGCCACTCTTGGCACCACCAGGGAAACTTGTCTGCCCCCATCCCAGCCCCGGAGCCCTTCAAGGGGCACGGTCTGGCTACGGTGCCCGTGCCAGGTCCAAGCCTGCCAGCACCCAGGCAGCGGACCCTGCACCTGGCACGGCTCAAGCCAGCCACCCGATGCCCCCCCGCCCTCCCC